TCGTTGTCCCAATGATGAAATATGTCTTTTGTTGTATCCTGTGGATCTATTCATATTCAATTCCATCTGAAATTGAGTTCCATTCTTTTTAATGTTAAATTTTTTGTTCATTAATTTAAAAAAAAAAAAAAAAAAAGAAAGCTGCCCTTCGGGCCAATTGACATCTTGTCAGTTTGAGGTACATTCTCCCTTCTTCATGAGCAAGTTTCGAGTTAACCTCTTGACAAATTGTTCAAAAAAATAAAAAAAAAAAAGAAAAATAAAAGGGCATCTCGTTTAACATAGAAACTTCATTCAAAGATTATAAAGCAGGTAAAGTATGGATTGACTTCAAGATCTCCATCTTACTTATCTAATTAAAAGTTGTTAAAGCATGCATTAAGATTGTGTTATCCCAAAAAATCTCCTTGACACGTGGCAGATGAAATGGCGTGCCACTTGCTTTGTTCAAAACAAGAAAGATTTCTCCGACGACCCTCTCTTCTTTCCAAGCGTGGAACTCAGCTTGTGAGTTGATGGAAGAACGTCGTGAATTGCACCTTAAAGATCAGACGATTGGCAGAAACGAGGGATGAACTTCCTGCACTAAATGGGTTATGCGACAAAATGCCCTGGATATGATTCCAAGGACTCCTAAAAGCTAATGTAATCAAGAAAAGTTAAGACTGCAAGGTAAATAAATGATCGCTAAGTTACTGAAAATCTAAATGAACTTTAAATACGCAAACTGAATTGAAACAGAGCCTTAAAAGGAAATTTAATTGCAGCAAAAGTAAATAAAGTTAAAGTAAATAAAACCCGAAGCATGAAAAATCTACTGGCAGCATGAAATGTAAATTAATGGAAATGGAACTGAACATGAAATTAAAAGTCGACATCGTTTGATTAAATTAAAGGAAATCTGGAAAACAAATATAAAGGAAAGGAAGCAATTCGATTACAAAGAAATACTACTGAAGGCAGCAAAACTCACCATTACAAATTCGACAAAAGAAGAACCGAATTGCTAAACTAATCTAGGTTGAAGCGTAGAGCTGAAATTAAATTAAAGGGCTTGAAACTAAGATGAATCTAAGCATAAAGAGAAATTGTGCTGAGTTTGTTGTGTGAGATGTCGATCCCTTGCTTGATCTTATCATTAGGTATTTATAACACCTTGGCAGCATGGTGGACATCTGCGGCAGCTGAAAAAACCAACGGCAGCGTAATACCTGCAACAAATTGATTAATTTGTTGGTGCTGCAATTATCCTCCGGGAAGCTCGCAACAAAAGAACAGTTTTGCTGCCGTTGGGGAAATAACCACTCAATCCCATCTGAAGAAATTCACACCAACTAATAAAATATATGACATCATGGGTGACACGTGGCAGCACTCCATTTGTTGTAAAATTAGGTGTAAACAGATTGCTTATAAGAATTTATGCCCTTGTAATAACTCCGTTGTTTATGAACAAAGCATTGCTTCGGCGCGTTTTTAACATCACTACTTGTTGACAAGAAATAAAATGTTCATAAAGTGTATATCCTGTCTTCACAAATCACGGGTCAGTTCAAATAAGTCCCATTCCCACTACAAAATTAACAAAAAGCCACAAACCTCTTTGCCTAATTTGACTCCATCTCCACCCCTCATTGTTGCCAGTAAATAAATACCTAATTCGTATTCATTACGTTCTTCTTATTTTAGGCCAAAATTTCCCAAGTTTTAGATTCTTTTAAGGAATGTTTTCCTAATATATTAGTAATTAATCTATAAATTATGAGCAACAAATTTACTTTATCGTCAAGTATCAAACTACTTTATTTAAGCCAAACCCAAAATGTACAAAGAAGCTTCACAATTTATATATATATAAATCCTCTAACACCTTCAAAAGAAAAGTCTCATCATAATTGACGACGATGCATCCCTTCTAGATGGCATAGCAATTAAGAGTTCAAAATCGTCAAGTTATCAACCTAAGTCAATACAAAATTACGATGTTTTGAATTTTAAATTGTTTAATATATATTGCACCTAATCTTTCGGGTTAACTGACAGCCTACCAGCTTGATGTGCATTCTTTCTTTTTATGGGCAAGCTCGACAATTTGTTTAAAGAAAAAAATTTAATATATATTAATATAACAAAAAATCAAAACACAAGCTAGAAGTTCCATTGATTTAATCATTAACAGCACAATT